TAGACTGTTTAGCGAATTATGTGGTGCTGCTGTGTTGACAGGTGTGCAAGCACAATCAACAAAATAAATCTTGATTTGAAGCTTTCGTGACTGCAGGAATTTATACTCTTTGGGTCTTTCGGTAAATAGATAGAAAATAATGATTTTCTATCTCCGTGACTTGACAAAACAAACTCAACAGATTTATCAATAAGACTTCTTTAAAATAAAAAAATATTATAGAATATGTATAGCAATGGCGCTTTGGGAAATAGCCCTTAGTCATAGCTATTTCTCTGCTTTCATATAGCTGGGGTGGGGGGGGATTTTTAAAATGAGCATTGCTGCAATGATATTTCTGCACAAAGACAAAATGAGGGTAAGCTTTTACGGATATGGTGCCTGTTACCTTATTTTTGTTTGTGAGTACAGTATATCGTGTTTAAGCTGTTTAAACTAATGATGTGATTGCGGAGCTTCCTGTAACTCGTGGCTTATAGTCTCCCTAGGTTTAAATAGCTGTACAGGGCTCTGCATGGGAGATTAGGTACCTTGCCAGGGAGTGCTTGTGAGTTGAGCGCTGCTGTCATGGTCAGATTCAGTGATCTATATTGGCCCTAGCAGAATGCTTCAACAAGGTCCAAATTAGCCACAGTGTCCCAGGGCTGGAAACAGTTTGGACACATGCCACCGGCTATAATGAAATGGGTGATTACTGTTCTTACTGACGGACTGACACGGGATTTGCTGATGTTTGAGGTTGAAGTGGTAAGTGTTAAATCGTGCCTGCGATGAACCAAGTGGTTTAACGTTTTGAGAAAAATAAACAGTTGAACAGAATCCAATGACCAGAGGAGGTGTTCATTGGATGGACATACAAGCGCTAACAATTAAATTAATTTGAGGCTCGACAAAGTGCAGTTTTTACCCACAGTAGTCGGGTCTTTTTTGTGCAAAACATTCCACGTGATTGGCACTTGAGCAGCTACCTGTTTGCAAATGTGCTCTCCCAGTAGTTGCACTATTTGTGAAATAAACACTGCAGAGAATATTAATGTAAAATAAATTCCAGCCACTCCAAATCCACCAATGAATGAAGGCGTCCCCATATCATGTCAGTCACGGTTTTTTGTTTTACCATACTTCACTATGCTTGTCGGTGCGGGTTGGTGGAGGAATAAGACCTGTTATGGTATCACTTGCCACTGATGTCAGTCGTGTCTGGGAATTGAAATGGGTTCATACCGCTGTGCAGCGTGTTAATCACTCTACCAACACTTGACAACATCAATAAGTAGTAATATGGTAAACAATGTAATCGTTTTTTATGATATACCACGCAGTGCTTGTATTGGAAATTATTTGTATATACTGGCCTATGAATTGTGGAGATGTTTTACATTTGACCATAACATTGCATAATATAGTTTTTTTTATCAAATCGTCAAACAAGTTACCATCCTATGTCAAACAGTTGTGTAACACCCAAACCATGATCAGCTAAAATAACTTGTCTTTAGTATACCAATGAATTTATGTGGACGAAGTATCGTCAGTTATCATGAAATGTTCTGTGCTCCGCACAAAATTACATTTGAAGATTCATTTCACAGAACGATATACAGTTCAGTATAATAATTTCAGTAATCCTCTCAAATGGAGAATAAAATATTCAACTGTACTTATTACTATTTATCTGTGTATACATTGTGTGCACATTGCATTTCGTGTTTAGTCAATTTTTTTGGGTAACCAGGTGAGAACTCAAAAGAGACCAGAATTGTGTAATTTGCAAGAGTGATCTGGGGCATTAGTCTGCCAATCGGATTGCAATAATTGCTGTGGTACAGTAATTCCTCGTTTTACGTGGTAGATGCGTTCCTAAAAGGTGTCGCATTTAAGAGAAAACGCTTTAGGCACGTAATTACTGTCTTGAAGCACATTTGGACTGTTAAATAATTCTGTAGTCATCCCGTGGTGGGACACCGAATTATGCCGCGTTACTATATCATTCCGCATACCCTATCATACCGCTTCGCCGCCCAGCAGCTCAGGAAAAGTAGTTCGGTGTCGACCGCTCAGAACCCCCGCGTGATATCGGGTGCTTTCCACGTCGTGTGAAAAGTGTTCCCTCATAGAAGAACCATGATTTCTAGTGAAAATGTATTGTGTGAACACGCGCTATGCAAAGACTTATATAATTTCAACTGAGTAATTTGCGGTGTAATTTTCTAATTTGCTAAGATTTTAATTTGACAGCACAAAAATGGCCTCCTCTTGCGAATAACATTAGTGGATCTTTAACGTCCAGAGTGAAGCAAACGGCGCGCGTTATTACTATCATCATCATTACACAGTAATACTGGTAGGAACCTCCTGGTTACACCAGCCCACAGGGGATTATTGTGTCTGTCCGTCGTGCAGGGAGGGGCTGGGTGGGGAGGGGCTGGGTGGAAGGGGTGGGGTTGGGAGGGGCTGGTCACCCTTATAAAACTCAACGTTTAACCTACTCACGCCGGCTTGTGCCTGCCCTCACAGTCGGGCATATTTGTGGAATACACCACGCCGCCGTTGACCCTGGCCATTGACCGAGCAACCCAACGCTCCTACCAGCTCCCTCCGCAGGAATGTGTTTATTCGGGGTGGCCACTGGATTAGAACAATGAGCCTCTTCAACAAGAAGTGGATGCCGCTACTCCTCGTTCATGTGACCACCCCATGTCTCTTGTTAAAGTCTACTGTGAGCAAAGGATCGCATGGTGGAGTGTGTGTATGGCAGTGGAAGCTGGAACGGTTTGATGACCCGATGCTTTCTTCCACACAGTGAAATCTCACTTGTAAACAACTCTGCCACTAGTTTTGTTTTTGTTCATGGGTGTCGTTTAAAATTCTTCAAATCAGTTGTATCTCCCCTCTGAATCGAATAATGATAGTACGTATCATTTCACAAGGTATTTCATTTTCTGTTTAAATATTTAGTACAAAAAGTCTGCTGATTATGTTATAGCAATTCGTGCAGCGTCTTCGATATCCACAGTTATTTAATAATTTCCAGGAACTTTTCCCTTTTTGCTGACGTGGAGGGGCAGTGTTTGCTTGTTCAAGTGTGACCTCTGGAACCTCATGGATGAGGCAATAAATGCAAGTTGGACATCATATATTAGGGTGGTAGCTTATGCCTGCCATCCACCACTGTGGAGGCGAGGGTTAGTGGATCACACAAATGCTGTTCAACTCCCTTCCCGAGAGCATCGAGGAGAATGTAGTCCAGCAAAAATGTGGATTGCCCCTTGTCTGCGTATGTGGGATCGTGTTTCCCTCGCGCATGTGGGTTTTTCTCGTGGTGCTCCGGTTTCCTGCCATATGTAAAGTCTCATTAATTGGCCGATAACACCTTCATATATAGAGGACCGCAGTGCTTGGGCGATTGTTGGCGCTGGCTCACCACATGGCTGTCTTCTTGCTTGTCTATGGTTCCTCACGCCGTCGAGTCTTTCTCTCTTCGAGAGTGAGCAAATACTTCGCGGGTTACAAGTTCAAATTATTACCGTATTGACTGTCAAGTTAAGTAGGCTGACGGCTGATGGACTGAGACTAACAGCGGAGTGGCAGCCAAATGAGTAACCACACCCAAGAGGATGACTGCCACTAGAGATGGAGCGATGAGATCGGCTCATATGCAGACGTGAGATGGATTGTGACATCCACTAGACTGTTGGGATGGTGACATGGGGAGGTCTTCATCCAACCGTGGATTCGTCATGGTCGGTGGTGATGATGATGATGACCTTAATTTCAACACAGCACTTACAATATTACATTTAGTAGGACACTGTCCGTCTCATGGTACCCAACCGTAGTGATAGGTTCACCGTTAATCTGTAATAGGTGCTATACCAGCCCAAAACACCCAATTATCTCAACCAATGGTTCTGCCTGTAAGTGTTGATGTTTTTATCATGTTTGAATGCATTGTAGAGCACCACTTGTATATCATTATGCTGTTTTTGTTCCACTGTATTCACATGTGCTGCAGTGTGCCGTTTGTAGAACAGGCGCGCGACTCTGATGCATGGCATGTTGTGTTAGCTTGGTATTCATTTCCTTCCTGTGTGGACGGGTACGCTCACTGTACAGCACATTACGGAACAGTCAGCTGGGGTTATAAAGTGTTTTTGCGTTGTTGTTGTTATTGTATTTTTTTTAGTACAGCATTGACTCATTCAATTGTGCATTCATTCAGTATTTTACAGTGTATGCTGCGATGTTAAGCATTTAACTTGAGGGTTCTTCAGCTATTTTACATGGGCATTCATGCAACGTGTGATACACTCACTCTCTTTGCGTGTCACAAAAGAGGAAATCGTATATATAATACCTACCATCCATGCAATGTGTTCACATACGGTTTGTATATTTTTAACTGATGTACTGTATTTGAAAAAAAAATCAACATTGTACATGGGTAATCCATAGATTCTCTATTATTTTTCAGGCGCAAGTGTAGTACATACAGTATATTCTTGCACTCTAATTGCACTATCGTGTTTGATGTCAGTGTTTCGTTTCTGTACAAGTTGTCATCCTTTTTAAAACAAGTTGCAACGGCGCTAGTAATGAAGGTTTCTTAAGCCACTTAAAATGAGTACATTTATTTTGGCTCATAGAAATACGTATCATCCTGCCACAGCATTGTCTGTGTTTTGCAATGCAAAGTTAATTTATATTGCGTCTAAATATGACCGCAACTTAAGATGCTGTGGAGAATCGGCGGGCATATTTATTTTATGCAAAGTGGCAATTATGAGGCATAGGGGAAAAAAGGAAGTTCTTGAGCCTGGAGTTGAACAGGGGTGAGGAGGCCACATCACAGATTACTGGGTGAAGAGAGTTTCATGCTGTGGGTGGAGGAAAGCAGGAGAAATGCGACAGCCTTCCTCCGTAAGACTGTGTTGAGCCTGTGGTGAAATCTGTTTTTTTGAATCTGTGCTTTCTATGCCCGTGATATTGCCCTGTGCCAGGTACCTGATGTGCAGTAATCCAGAGGACCTTCGAGAGAAGGCTGGCTGGGAGGGCAAGGGGCCTCTCTCCCGTGCCAAATTACTGGACAAGCTTCACAGTAAGCGCTGCACACACGTGCACACGCGTGACACTATGGGACCCCCCCCCCCCGCATCTTGTACATTATACATTTCCGCAGCACAAGCCCAGCCAGAGGCTGCAGTAGACATTGCCTGGTTGAGGATTTTAAATAGTATATATTTTCAAGACTCTCCAGTATTCCTATTGGAATTGTTGAGTGTTATGCTGCTAAACATTCGTACTTACATTCAAACCTTGTCTATTTAACGAGGACATTAAATGTCAGAGAAATCTTAAGATCACCACAGCAACCAAATTATCTCCAGGAAGCTGAGCTTTAAAGCTGCATTAATCGACCGTGTATGCTGACTAGGCTCATCAGCCAATTATATGGTAAATTAAACGTTTAAAATGTTGAAGAAATAACACAGGAGATCGTGCCTGCATCTTTTATATGGTGATCTGACTGCAAAACCAAACATCACACAGACATGCACAAAAAAAGCTCTCCTCTGCATAATCCAGCTCGTATGTGCGGCTCGCTGCGTGCCCTTCCACGCAAAGGACATCCTGAGGTTTGTATCTCAAAGCAGGTTCTTTGTATGTGTGACTTAATACCAGAAGAATTGTAAACATGTAAAACGTTCATTATTATTCGAATACACAGTTTGAATTTACATACAGATGTTCGTATATAAAACATTACATTTCTCAATTAAAAAAGAAAGCAGTGCCCTTTAGATTGTGCTGTTTGGGGTGACTGCTCCTTCATGGTGCAGAGGACTTGCACATATTAGTTACGGTCTCCAGAGGCATTTAGTGTCAATAACCTTACCCACAGGAGTTGTTAACGTTCAGTTTTTCCATTCTTCATTTTACACAGTTATCTTTCACCTATGCCAGTGAAGTAAAACAAGTGCCATTGCAATTTTGTTCCTTAATTCAACGTTTGAAGTCTAATGAAAACAGCATATGGCGTTTTAGACATGCTGCACAATGAATTCACATTCATGTATTCTTATGCTGAACAGAATTAGCGCCGCAGATTAACATTTAAACCTGGGAGGTCGTGTTTTGTCCAAATATAGCATGACAGCATGTCAAACACATGCTCACTATTGAGGAGGGAGAGTCCCATACTGCCAGGCATTGATTTCAACTTCGTTATTGGTACTGACACAGGGCACCTGGCAACTGCATGGGGCAGTTTTAGGAAGATGCCCGGTGAAGCAAAGCAGTGCATTTGGCACCGTTATTAATCACCTTCTCCACTGGAATCAGTTAATCTTTCGACCAGAGTGTGAGCGTGTGACTACCAGTGTGTCTGCGTACATCTGTGGAATGCTATTGCGCATGCTGGGAGCTATGAGGCACACTGCTAACAACACGAGCCCTCCCTGGAATGTGGAACTGCCAGCTTGTGCGTTCCCACTTAATGAAGTCTCAAAAATATGTAGGCAACTGGAGCCCAAAATGTGTACGGTAACTTAATAGGCGATGTCCGTGTTACAACGTGACAGGTCACTCAATGTATTATTATTCCCCACTTTTTATAAAGCTGTAAAAAAAAAGCCTGAAAGAAAATGTTGTGGTTTTAAGGTGAGCACTGCTTATTAATTTATTACACAGAAATTAGTTATAAATTTTTGGTATATTTTTTGCAGATGTTTTTTTCTTTCCTATTGCAACATTGTTTAATCCTGAACATGGAAAGCATCCACGGTATTGCTGTATTTGTGCACGCCGTTGAACACTAGCAGTGCCTACAATGTTGCACAGTGCATGTACAGTAGTGTGCCATGTGCATGTGTGTCACACATGGTTAATCGTATGCCCCTTGCTGTATAGTAACGTAGAATGGAGGTCGATACAAATGAGTGACGCAATGCAAATCTGGGAGCATTTGAACTTGACTTGGCAATTAATTTAATCTGCATTCATGTTTTGATGTGTGAATTAGCATGGCTATGTTTCACAATACACTGCATCTGTTTCTTATTTAATGTAGCCCTTCGATTTGTTTCATTAACATATTTAACTCTGATTCGCCACCAAAAGAAATACGATGTGTAAAGCAGTCAAATTTAAGGTGTAAGACGTGTGTGGCAATAGCTAGCAACACTTTAAATACAAGGGGCTTACATCCAATTAATGGACCATTGGTTGACTATCTTCCTATGAGTTGAACAGCCTTTCATCGGCCATGTGCCCGACCATAAGATAATTACAGGTTTTACGTTTATCATCATTTTGTTATCTGTTTAAATTTTGAACTCGCATTGCCAGAGAATCACAAAAAACATGGAATACTGTAATATTTTCTTTCGGGTTAGTGTCATAAACAGTAAGTGCCCACGAAAAGAGATTCATTTTGCAATTATGAAGATTGATACAGTAATTAATATGGGTAATTGGTTGTAATGAGTCTAACTTGATTATTAGATCTGTGTCATTCATTACCAAGTCTGAGAGTAGAGCAGAGGTCGCAACCGGGTACCCGATACCCGTACCCTACCCGATACCCGGCTAACCGTACCCAGCCGGGTACGGGTAGCTGTTTGCGACCCTGGTGCGGCCGGGTACGGGTAGATCGTGAGTCACTGGTGAGTAACTGTTTGTCACTCATTTCGGGTAGGGTACGGGTACGGGTAGGGAACGGGTACCCGTACCCGGCCGGGTACGGGTACCCATTTGCGACCCTGGTGCGGCCGGGTACGGGTAAGGAATCAAAACCCGTTTGCGACCTCTGGAGTAGAGGGCTGTTAATAACTATATTTGTACAAACAATTGCTGCACATGTAGCTTAAATTGATTACGGCAGTCACAATGTCTGGTTGCATTTTTTTTACGAATCTCCAAAGTTATAAGTTGTATGTGTTTACTGTTATTTATTTCCTGTCAATGTGGTGTTGGTAGAATATATTGATTTTTTTTTCTGCTAAAACATGGCCTACTTATGCTTTAATGCCCCAGAAAGGTGCTGTGCACAGATCCCCATGAGGCGATGTGCGATGTGTGCACAGTCAGTCCCCATCATAATGAGCATGGCCAGGGGACATCTTCGGAAAGCATAGACTTCATCAAACAGAGCTGTGTTTATCTTAGGACTAATTGATGGTTATGCTACAAAACAACTCTATATGCTACTCCAAACTGTAATGGATCTAATTTGTATTGATTACTTTCATTATGCGGAACCCAGCTTTTCTCAGATGTGTTTATTGGAGCTGCACAGCTCATGAGGAATTATGAACTGCTGAGATGGTAGGCACCATATGTGATGCCCTGGTGGTGGCACAGCTACATTTTCAGTATGAATAGCCTATGATAATACCTCAATTAAAAAAATCCTTATTGGTGGTGATCTAATCAACTGAACTTAACAGTTCAAGAGGATTGAAAATGTGTGACCTAATATCTCATATGTTAACATATTTTTTCTGACATATCGTGCACTTTAAAAACGATGTAAAAATTCTAAAACAAGGGCCCCTTGCTTACGACACAAATTGGTCCAGGTTAATAAAAAAAGATTTACATCCGTAATTGTTTTTTACACAACCAGGATTGGGTATTGGTGCTCTACAGTAAATGAACAGTTACACTACATCCACTGACGGAGCCTACTTAACCCTGATGCCCATCGAGTGATTGCTTCAGTGTTGCCGACAGGTCAGTAAACATCGTGCTCACATCCCAGAGCGATCCATCAACCCCAGTACAAAGTCGCCCAGAGAGACCATACGGGATGCCACTTGGCCAGCAAGATTAGGGGGTGGGGGATCGGGGGGGGGGGACACACAACCTCATCCTGCTGAGCAACGCCTCCGGATTAAGTGCCACTAGAACATGGCAACCGCATGCTTAATGTAGGCCGAGCGCATTCATGCAACATTTACGGATACATAAGCACATGTATTTTTGAAAATTTCTCGTGCGCTTGAGGAATAACTACAATGAATTGAAACATTTGCAGTTAATGTAATGCTGGCATTCCAAATGACGAAACTGTCGCATTGTACTGCTTGTAAAAATAGCACCACGTATATGAAAATTGCCCTCTTATAGAGTTAACCTCCATGTCCTCCATATCTCATATACTGGGCTATAGCATGCAAGAATTGTAATGTGTTCATAAGCACACATTGTAATGCAAAGTAATGTTGAATGAGCACAGCTGACGGCACACCTGGCACAGCTTATGTACAATTACTCAGGAACGTGACACCATTGCCACAACTCTCATCTAGCAGTATCATGCTGGTTATAATGGTAAATGCATTTTTAAGTCGCTTGACAAATGCCTTTGCTTTATTCAATGAGTCACCAAACAATGCCATAATTTTGGAAATTCCTCAAATGTTTGTTCATCTTAATGGCTTGGTTTTTAGAACTATGTAAATTATTTTACTTTTATATCCTTAGTTTTAAGTAAGCAATACACGTGCTGTATACTTAAAACAGAGATACTGGGGCGAATGAGTGAAATTTCATTTTCATCAGATTTTTCCTGAAAATGTGCGTTATCAATAATGAGATGAATTACCAAGGCGATGCTTTTAGGTTATTTCAGCAACATTGGGAGCTGGCCCACATAGAAGAAAACTAATAACGCCATCAGATATGTTTGTTGGAACAGAAGCAAGCTGTGCCAGACTGCGAATTCCAGGTGCACAAGGATATTTATGTATGACCACAACAGCGTTGAGGGGGTGGGAGGCCTTCACGCATTGGTGGATTTGTGGATGAAGACATATTTTGTGATATAATCATTCTAAAACATTGTAATTCTACACCACCAGACAACTTTATATGAATACTAAACTCAATACGTTAATTATTAGGATTACATTTAAATATATATAATCGGTGGTGTTTTGGCAGTGGCCTTTTATAGCACATAAATAGAGACGGAGTGCATACTAATTTGGAGACTACACTTTACACCATTTTGCCTGATGAAAATTAATGTTTCCTGATGAACAATTTTAAAACTGGCATATGAATAGTTATTAGTAGCCTCTGAGTAACAGAGAAACCCTTCGATGATCAAAATCCGCAGCTAACAGCATTGGCAAACATGTTGGGTTTTTATTATTTTTGCTTTTGTACCACTACCAATGCATTGTAACCAAATATAGCAAGTATGTGTATAGTGCAACCTATGGATCCCATTGGTCTGGTATTTACATGAAAGCTGCACATCTATGCCCCATACCTTACTGACAACTTGCAGCTCAGCACACGGCAGATGCCTGCGCAGCGCGACTCACGACCTCCTCTCAATACCAAGATCCAGGATGGTCATGTCTACGCGCCGCTTCTCGGTGGCAGCCCCAACAGTCTGGAACGATATCCCTCTGCACATTCGCAGCATCACCTCAATCGCCTCCTTCAAGAGACACTTAAAAACTCACCTCTACAATCATGCTTTTGAGCGACTCTGAGCTTGGCTCCGCGCCTCTGAGTTGCGGCCACTACGTCTGCAAATTTGCGCGCGTTACAAATTGTACTATTATTATTATTATTTGTCCTATTTGTGTCGCTATTTCCATGAAAATTATTCCTTTTGGTGTTCGGCTGTCGTACGCAATGTGGGACGGCCGTGAAAGAAAATTTTAAGATCTGAATTTCTCCCAGATGCTGTCTTTCACTTTGAGGAAGAGATGAATGCTCAATGATGTCAAATCAAAGCATAGGATGCATTGTGGTTGACACTCACTAAGTGCAAGCATGTGTGTTTGACTCCAGCTCAAGCGTTTTCTCAGGACCATCGCAGCAGTGACCTTGAGGGAATGAAAATGGACATGTTAATTTGTCTGCAGACCACCACTAATGCTTATTAATGACACAAAAGTGTCCTTAAAACGATGTGATTTTGGTAAAATGCACTTAAGATTAGCTCTCATCAACCGTGCAGACATGTCTCCCTGCATGTGCATCATACCCTCGTCATCATACAAAGGTCTTTAGCCATGATTGACTAAGCTATCTATTGCTGCTTGGGATACATGCTAAGTACTGTACAGCAGTTGGTTATAAATGCCAAATGCTAAATATTGACTATCAGAGGCTTATCGTCTGAGGGACAGCGAGAGTCCCCGCACCAGACCTATTACTAGCAAACTTCAGAGTAGTCTCTTACCCTACGATACCCTCAACACAAATGGACCCAAATCTGGCAGGCTCCTCAATTTGGCCCAAGATCATTAACACTGAGGCTTATCCAGTTTAAATTCATGCACGGTACCTACATGACCAACAAGAGACAGGCAACATTCATGGACAGTTTCCCCAGATTGTCCCAGATGTCCTCCGGACACGGTTCAATCGTACTTCCACGCCTTCTGGCTTTGCCCAGACATAGTTACATTTTACCGGGACATGGACTTTTTTTTTTAATAAGATCTGCAGCACCAATCTCTCCCATTCAGTCGAAACTACTCTGTGGGATCTGAAACCTGTCGCTCTGTCGAAACATGAATATGTTTTATTACAAACCTTCAATATCACGGCCAGGAAGGTAATTTTGACCAATTGGAAAGATCATGAACCCCCATCGTGGAAGCAGTGGCATAACACCCTCCTTGCCTACGCAGGCATTGAACACTTAAGCCGCAAGCTTAAAGACAGAGAACGGGAGTTCGAAGCCAGATGGTCCCCATTTTTACGGAGCCTAATATGAGTTCCGCAGGGGTGTCCTTGGGGGTTTGTGCCCCTCTTCCGGGAACTGGCGGGTACAGATTATTGTTCAGAGAGTTCACAAGCTCACATCTAGCACGTACATTATTTTACGTGTGGCTTTTTATTACATGCCTTTCCCTTTTTACCCCCCCCCCCCCCACTTTCCCATCCCACTTCTACCCTTTTATGTTATTTATCTTCCCCCTGACAGTGTCCCCCCCCCCCCCCATATAAACTTTCACTTCTCCGCTAGAGGCTGCCCATCTGGGTGGGGCAGTGAGCTCAAGCCAACCCTCTTCACTAAGCCCTGCCGTGCCGATCTCGGGCTTTTTCTTGTGGAATTTTTGCCTCCCCCCTCCCCCCACCTGTTTGGTGATTGGTGGTCTGTACCGGGGTAGTGTTGAGTTGATTTTTTTTTAAAGATCAAAGCTTGCGGAGTATTGACACATTACTTTCACATTACATTTATTAGAAAGTTTCCACCATTTAAATTAACAAATATTTTTCACGCAATGTTCAATGCGATATCCATTGACATTTCATAGCTTACGTTTTTGTGACTCTTTTTCGTTTAATATGGACTGACATTAACGTACGCATGGGTGAGTGGCTTGCGCACCCAAGTAAAATGGCAATAGCTGTGTACCAAATGCTCGTGATAAACAGTAGTGGCGTCAGCGGTGCTGGTGTGTTGGTTTGCGCTCGTGTGTGTGTGTGGTACAGCATACTTGCCTCCTTCGGTGATGCTGCCACCACGCCGCCTGCACACGCTGCTGCACCAAGCTGTGGAGCTGCAGCAGGACCGCTGCCTATATCACAACACGCGGCTAGATCCCAGCCTCGACTCTGTGTCGCTGCTCATCGATCACATGTGCAGCAAGTACGGATGCACGTCCTGATAGAGCCTGCATAACGCTGCTCAAAGAAAACATTCCACTTATCGCTACCACTAATTATAAACTCTACAATGCATCCTTTTTATGAAATGCAACACATCGTAAGATGTACTCTGTTTTATGTTCAGTTAGGTGTGTGCATGTACTAAATATGAATACGTTAACTTGAAAGCATGAAAGTTATTCCATTTATCTAGGGCACTGAGTGTTAAGACTCCTCAAAACAGGAACCTCCTGAAAAGTTTGGCCCAATTTATTTTTAATGATTGGGAAGAAACTTGAGTACTCAGAGAAAACGCAGCATACAATGGGAAAATGTTGAACGAGAACCAATTTTTCCATATTGGCTCCTCTTCATCGCCTTGCATTCCAGCAGCTTTGGGAGATTCAAAAATATTTGTGATGCATCAAATTGCTTATCGCCAAAATGCTGGATTACAGGCGTGTGTTACCACAGCCGGCTCAACAATGTTCACAAGTCTGACCTTAACTAAAATACTTTCCCAAAAATAAATTGCAAACCGAAGCTGCGCTTGCTATGACATCAGATACTACATACACTCTGCACACAATATGCTCGCTCACCCACATGTGTGCTTTGCAGGAAGCAGTTTCCATGCAACACACGCCAGGTGCTCACGGAGCACTGCAATGAGGTGTGGTACTGTAAGTTTTCCAACGATGGCACCAAGCTGGCCACCGGCTCCAAGGACTCCACTGTTATTATATGGCAGGTGGACCAGGTGAGAAAAATACGAATACACAAATAAAAAAAGCACGCAGACACAACCGTACGTCGGCTGGTCACATTTGTGGGCCTCACATGTGACCGTAGGCATTTTTACATTATGGTCTGTGTTCAAATTTTTTTTTACGGTGGTGTGTGTGGAGTGGTGGCTAATGCACTGCACCATGAACCCCGCAACCCGAGTTTGATCCCCGACCATGGCTAACATCAGTGGTGAGATAGCGGAACCAGTCCTGGCCTGTCGTTAAGGTAAACTAATTCTCCTGCCCTACTAAAGGCATGGGGAGGCCTTGATTTAAGTACTTTGAGAAAATGGCTGTAAATTATTTGTTTTCTAGATTCTAAGTTTTCGTGACTGCAAGGATCCATACTCTTTGGTTCTTTCGGTAAAGTCACGTAGGTATAAATTATTAAATAAATTAAATCACGACGTTTCGATTGCAACACAAGCAATCGTCATAATGATGTATATAGTTATGCCAGTGCTCGTCTCACATGCCCCTTGGTCACGTGTGTGTGCCGGCAGGAGAGCTTCCAGCTGAAGCAGGTGCGTACGCTGGAGGGACATGCCTACGGCGCGTCCTACCTGGCGTGGAGCCCCGACGACGTGCACATCATCGTGTGTGGCCCTGACGACTGCTTCGAGCTCTGGCTTTGGAATGCACAGGTCGGGCTCTACGCTGGGAAAAGATGGCCATGCAGAAGCATCGGGGGCAGCGCTCTCAGTACCTTTTTGTGTTTAGTTTGTTGCCCCCCACCCCCCGCACCTCCGATTTAGCACGGTTGGCGACGGACTGTGCGAAAGAAGTTCTACGTACATATGTGCAGGGTTCAGTTTTGACACTGTTCAATATACATTCTAGTTTCTTATCACATTTCTATTCATACTTGGTTACTAATCTAAAAACGTGAAATGCTTGAAATTCCACTTACGCGGGTGGTCTGTGTAACATTGAGTCTGGGGTACTCCCCATTGCATTGCCCGTGCCTGTGCATGTGTGTCTGGCAGACCGGCGAGCTAAGAGTGAAGATGTCTCAGTCCCATGAAGACAGCTTGACATGCGCTGCCTGGAACCCCGACTGCAAGCGCTTTGTGACAGGAGGGCAGCGGGGACAGTTCTACCAGTGTGTGAGTGTATGCACCTCCAATTAGCACTGTTGGCTACGTACGGTGCAAAAGAAGTTCAACATACGTACATATGCACCATCCAGAGACTGTCCCCTCCCTTTGTATTGATAACCAGGACTTAATCTCCCTTTAAAACATAAGCATTCATACTTTGATTGAATGATCGTTGACATTTGACTGTCTTAATGAGCCACTGTTCAAGAGAGTAATAGTAAGAGCTGCTAAAGCATGCAATTCGTTTTCAGTGTGGGGCTTCATTGCTGTAATTGTTTGTGTTATGTGGACATAAATTAGAGCTACTGATTAATGCATATATCGTTATTCATAAAATAATTCAATCATATTTACTACATTAGTTTATAAATGATGTAGTGCATCCAGTTTACAAATTAAGGGGAATTAGGTTTTCAGAGTTGTGCTGTGATTTCCAACCATGTGTTAAACTTGTTCAAATCTACCGTGACGCCACACTAATAGATGATCACTGGTACTCACAATTTTCAGCTTTTGCAAATAAAATCATCTATTGAGGTGGAATTAAGTGCTTTGAGATCTCAGCTGTTTGTCATAGGGTGACGGCTAAAGCAGTTGACCAGTGATGTGTGATTTGAAGGTTAATTTTCTCCAGTGAGGATTGAGGATTAGAGGGAGAGGATTTCAAAGGGATGAAGAGTGGAGTTTTCACAAGCAAAGCCTCGTGCAGTTCCTTTTATAAATGGTTTTATGCAGTGGCTGATTTTATTAGTAGAAAGTAGTGTTTGACTGTCGGCAATAATTGTCTGTTAGCATGACCAATAATTCTCATGTCAGATGTAAGAACGTATTATCCTGGCATGTATGGCATGCTCCCAAAACTTGCTTTTTTAAATTGCCACGGTTGTCCCACAACTGGTCCAAGAGGAATTACAATTAACTACAAATACCCTTGCTTGACGTGCCTTTAAAAAAATATAAAATCAAGTGCCCTCTCCGTTACACGAACGGGGGAGGCCTTGCGGTTAGAACGTGAAACTCGCCGTCATAATGCTGCCAGCTTAAAGCCCAGTTGGGGGTCGGCTCAGTCCCTCTTACCGGGGATCAATGAGACTTGCATCTGCCATAGACCTGTGGAATTTCCACCACTTGTCCAGGGGTGTATATCAATTTGCACTCCTGCACGCTGTTGAGTGGGAAAACCAGTGGGTTTTTTGTCGTCTCTGTAACCAGTTGAGGGTTGAATAAAACTTACTGTCAGCTAGGATTGGGAAAACCAGAGTTGAAATCAAATTAGGATTCCTGCGTGAAGTGCACAGATGTGAATAGAAAACATTGTTGTATACCAAGTACTTTTCAAAATCTCAGTCTTTTTAAATCACCAAAATATGAAATGCTTTATCCAACTGTAAGGCCACTGCTTAAAACATGAGCTGATCATATAATTGTATATATTTACTTTGTTTTTGTAAAATACAATGTATGTTAATGATGAAGGTGATAAAGCATTCTGAGCATGTTTCTACACCACTGGCAAACGCAGTTCCTGAAATTTTTATTAGAACATGCATAATGCATATCCGCGTGTCAGTGACGTTTCCGTTCCTTTCCCTTGAACGGAGGAGACTAACGAGTCGGCTGCTTTGTTGTGGCACACGGCAGGACCTGGATGGCAATGTGCTGGACTCGTGGGAGGGCGTCCGCGTACAGTGCCTCTGGTGTCTGGGTGACGGCAAGACCATCCTGGCGTCGGACACCCACCAGCGGATACGCGCGTACAACTTTGAGGAGCTCACCGACCGAAATATGTGGGCGCAGCACGGCCACTTACCTTCCGCTGCCTGTTACTGATCTGTGAACTTGTACATACTGGAGTTGGACATCTAATGCATCTATCTAGTGCTTCTTCTTCTTGGTTCTTTCGGTAAAGTCACGCAGAATGGATATAATAAAATAAAACATTAATTAATTCTCACGACGTTTTGGCCACAATGCAAGCAGCCGTTGTCAGGTGAAGACCAGGTCTGTCGGGGAGACAGCGTCTGAATGTCTCCCCGACAGACCTGGTCTTCACCTGAGGACTGCTGCTTGCGTTGTGGCCGAAACGTCGTGAGAATTAATTTATTATGTTTTATTTTATTATTTCCATTCTACGTGACTTTACCGAAAGAACCAAGAAGATGAATCCCTGGAGTCACGAAAGCTTTAAATCGAAATTTATCTAGTGCTTGTTCAGGAATTTTGTACGGTTGCTTTTGTGCTGATGTTCACATTGTAAAAACGGTCAAGATATTCTTTAATTGTATATTCACGTCAATATGCACGAGACTGGACAACTGGGAAAGTTTATACTGTTAACAAGTGTCAGTCATACAGGTGTGCTGCTCATGTTTTTCAGTGTACAAGAAGACCACCCAATAATGTCTTTCACGGTGTCAAAGAATGGGAGACTTGCACTGCTAAATGTAGCAACTCAGGTAAGTACTGCAAAATGTCAGCATGTGAAGCGGTACTTGGCAGCGCTATGTAACTGTTGATTAAGAATTTTCTTTGTTCGCTCATTCTTAAACTCCATTGCGTTGTGACCAGTATATTTAGACACGAAGTGCGAGCTTGCAGGCATATGAAGGCAGAGGGGGTCGGTCGTGCACCCCCACCGCGTGCGTGTGCAGGGAGTGCACCTTTGGGACCTGCAGGACCGCGTGTTGGTCAGGAAATACCAGGGAGTGACGCAGGGCTTCTATACCATCCACTCGTGCCTGGGCGGCCACAACGAAGACTTCCTGGCCAGCGGCAGTGAGGGTGAGGGCCGCCGCACATCTCGCGTGGCACGCACATCAGCGTGGCATGCACACAGGAGACACCAGTAAGGTCAGTACAATATGTCGAGCTGTTACTAACCCGCAAAAAGAAGAGCATTTCATTTTGCGGATTAGAAACAGTTTTACATATTAGTTAGTTCATAATTGGTTTTTGTGAGCACCAACTGGACAAATTGTTGGCACCATGCAGTGATCTGGATTACTGTGCACAATGAGGAAATACGTGTTTTTATAGTGAATTAATAAATTGCAAGGTCATTTTTTTATGTTTTCGTGCATTTTTGTGTCGGGCCTGATTGGTGACTAGTCCAGTAAGCAGCTTTACGAATCCCAAGCTAATGGAATAAATTACATAAACCACACTCGCGTCTCTTGTAAATTCTCACAGTATGTATTTATGTTATTTGCGTGCTATTTTAATGCTAGACAAAATTTGAATTGAGCTGTTATACCTTAAGTTTAAAGAAAATAAATATGGTTACAGAAATAGCTCAGGTGAGGCAGGACTGCACTTACAGAGAAATGAGAAAAATATTTTTTCACAATAGATGCACCATCAGTCAAAACTGTTAATTATTCCTACAACTTTTCAATAACATGGTTTGCTTTTGTCATCTCAGTCAACCATGTACAGCGCTGCAAACATTACAATGGAACCATTCTGCTTGTTTGTCATGCATTTCATTTCTATCTCCTGTAGTGGGTGCGATGGGATTGGTCATCAGCCTTCCATGATAATTGTTAGCTCCCCCATTAAATGGTGTTGCACGTCAGTTATTGATGCAAACCTGTGCAGCAACACAAATATGTTTGAACTGTATTGGTGCAATTCATACCATATTGTGAAATGATTTATCTCAGGGTCATTACTCAGACGTTGCCACCATTTAAGTTGTGCTGTTCTACCTTCCCAATTCCTATGATCATGATCCCAGACTATTTTAGTGTTCCCAAGAGTTATGGGGAGAATATTAGCCTGTAGGTGAAAGGGTTACAAGTTGATATGCAATCAATCACTGCCCAGTGGTGTCTCAAATGAAGCCGGTCTGTGCACACCACACGCTGCTCCGCACAGTATCTAGCTGCAATAAATCATGCGTCATGCAAGCAGAGAAAACGAGTAATAGCCGCCCGCACGTACCCCCTCCCATCTTCATCCAGCACGTGGAGAGAACAGGTCTGTAACTAGGACATTTACATTCGGTTTAAAAGTGTTTTGGGATGGATCTTCAATGTTTTAACGTGTCTAAATTACACCAAATAGTTGTTATCATGTTTACGAAATTCTCCTATAACCTTTCGTTAGCCTTGAGCACACCAGGTGACCGGCAGGCTACAGCACATTCGAGACAGCCTCAACCCCCCCCCCCCCCCCCCCCACGTTGTGTGCCAGTCATCACCTCGTGACAGTTCTACTCTGCGTTCTCATTGTTTGCCAATCCAGAAACATCTCAAATACAAGGTTGGATCCATCACTCACCAGGCTCTGACAGGACAGTTGCCTATCTAGTCTGTTTGAACTGTTCATAGTTCCCAACCCGTTTGCAATCAGTTAACAAATCCTTGCCGGTTATTCTGCCAAACAGAACCGTAATGGCCGGCAGAGCATTTCGAGTCTCGCCTCTCCATTGGTCTAGAACATTATGCAAGATGACCTTCGGTCCATCGCATGTCACAAACCGTTCAAAATACATTTTCAAACATTGGACCATAAGTGACCTGCGCCTGTACGCTCGGCCCTGTGACATTCCCTAACTATGGCGCTGGACAAAGAAATGTCCAATAAAGGATGGGCTTGATTCGGATGCATTTGTGTAATTTTGAATGACACTGTGACTGTGCATGGGTATCTATGTCATTGCTTCTAAACCAGCTGACTACAGATTACAAGGACATACATTGCATACACCACAACCTTTGGATATTAGCTTCTATGATAAATCGTTATCCATGTGAAGCTTTGTTCTTCAATGCACTTCACAAATCTTAACGAACAAAAAGCTTGTTGAAATTGCTTGGTTTAGCGTCCAGTATCCTATGCAGATTCCCATTCTAAGATACAATGATTTGGTTGTCGATGGTTTATTGCGTTTAATGTTTCCGATGTTTATGCGTAAAAATTTCTTTGGCATATCTGGGCAAAACGTTTCACATTTAATTTTCATATATACCTGCCTGCATTTGTGCGCGTTAACAGACCACAAGGTGTACGTTTGGCATCGCAAGCGGGAGATGCCGATTGCGGTGCTGACGGGGCACACCCGCACAGTGAACTGTGTGAGCTGGAACCCGGCAGTGCCTGGCATGCTGGCCAGCGCCTCCGACGACGGCACAGTGCGCATCTGGGGGCCAGCGCTCGACGCCGACGACATCGAAGGTTTGTCGTTCGACGTCGAGTTGTTTGTGGGAAGGCGCCAGGGCAGGTTAAAGGGTGGAACCGCAATGATGGTCCTTTGTGAGGATCTGCTCACCAAGGTTATATCTACGGTAGATATTTTGTTGGCTGTTTTGGTATCTGTTCTCCATTTTACAAAACCTGAAAAATTCGTGCATGCTGGTGATGTGATACGTTTTGTTCACTATTACATCTTTTTTCCATTTTACAATGGAGCCGGGCCCAAGGCGATGCCCAGCCACCTTGACTCTGCTCTGGAGTCGCCATGTTGATTTTCAACTGCAGAAGCAGAGCCGTTGACATTACTTGCAATGAACAAGTGGAGACACATGTGCATGATGCGGTGACGGTGTCCTGCAATCATTCGCTCTGGGTCTGCTTGGCCTCAAGCCAAATTCACGTGTGTTGAAGCCAACGTTTTTTGGCATGGTTCCGGCACGGCATAAAAAATCCAGTGGAAAGAGCACCAACATCTTGTGATGGGCCCTGCGCTGCTTTGACTGATGTGGTGGTGAATAAGTGGTATATAATGAAGCCTTGTTGGTTCAACTTGCCAAATGTATCACTGGATGATAATTGTATTGTTCGGTATCTGTTCTCCCTGCACAAAACATGTTTGACTAATGCAATTGGTGTTGTGCACATCGATAGCTTGGTGCTAAAGTCAGACATGGGTGCGTATGTGGCAACGTTGGTTCCAACAAATATACCATGTAAAAACATGCAATTCTAATCCCATACATGGGTGAATCCTGGTGGCATTGTTTAAACTGACAGTTTATAAAATTAAAAAAGTAATTAGGGCTTTAATTTTTAGACCGTTAGAGCTGGCATGACAAGAGTGATTTATAATAAAGCCTGTGCATTGTTTACAGATGGGCTGTGCAGCATGGAAAGCTGACATGATGTGGGCAAAGAAGCCATGTGACAACATCTGCAGCACCCAGCCGGGTCCCTGACACTGAGGCCAAAGCACTCGGTCTTGCTGTCCACCACCAATATCACAACAGCCACCAAGGAGCACTCAGTTGAAGCAAGTGATGTCTTGTTACGAGTTACATTTCTTCTTGTTGCGTTAAATTAACAGCTTCACATGTGTATATGGCTGGCTGAGCAGCAGTCATTTTGCCCTCATTTTTGAGCATGGTGCGTCTTCCGATACAAAATTCCCTTTGAGACTCGCCAAAGTGCAAGGTCGCAACTTGACGCAAACCGTATAAATATAATGGGAGTTTTTTCGGCTCAAAATGCTGCCATCTTACATAACACAACGTGAACATATTCTGGTCCCCAAAAAGCCCAGTCTGTACATAGCCACGACCTGGAAAGTATTCCAGAGGAAAAAAAAATGCCCGAGTTTATTTCAGCTGGTGGATAATGGAATGAAGTTGGTTAACAGTGTGTAGTAGTTGTTTGTAAGACTGGTAATAACTCATTTTCACTGTCTTAGCCCCTGTTCTCTTCTGTGCTGAGTTCTAAAAAGGACACCAGTCATTTAAACCACAACATGGCTTTGGCACTTTGAGCTTTTGTATACTTTTGCGTTTTTCCCCAGAATTTTTATTGCAGTGTTTTAAACTTTTATGGAGGCTTGTACATTATGCTACAATGCTAAAAATGGGGGGTTAATGGGGGTTCATGTTTGGTATGATTAAAAAAAATCATTTGTGGAACGGTGGTTTAGACTACTTGTTTAAAAGTGTATGCAATGTTTAAAAAGTTTAATAAATCGCCACTAGAACATTTCCAGTTTTAATTTTATAACCACTTGACCAATTGTACAAAATCACAACATTAAATCAACTGCAGTGTCAAACCAAAAGTATTATGGAAATTTTAAAATGTTTAAAATACAGAAGATGGCACTAGGCAGCCTCAAAACATTTTCATTCATTTCATGATTACTGCAACAATACCGCCTATTTTCTGTACAGTATTTGTAAACCACAAACTGAGGAGGAGCAACAGCTTCACCATTCACAACCCAGAAGAGGTGCAGCTTGCAGTGATGTCTTGTAACTCAGAAGCCTCTGCTGCACCTGATTCCCAAGGAATGTTCACACCTCTCCAACTGCAGATGGCAGACTTATTATTGGGTATCTGACGTTCAGATAAATATCCTGAGGTTTTTGAACCACTCTTTGTATTAGTACACTCAATTCTGACCTTGCTGTTGGGTCTTGGGCCACGTGCCTTGGCAGACCAATTGAACATTGCTTGTGGACCAGAAATTGTGGAAACACGGAGTGTTTTGGGGAATAAAGTGGATAGTGTCATTCACCACAAACTAAATTTTTCTTCATCTTGGTCTTGTAATTTTTCCATTTCATTCACTGACCAATGTAAGGATCATGCTGCAAATTAAAGACAAGCCACATTAGAAAGCAATATCTGGAACAGGGCCAATAGAATTTACATTTTATGAAATAATACAAGTAGCCAGAAACAGATCCAAACTGACATGCCTAGGTCAATCTACAGTGAGCCTGTCGGTCTTTACTGTGTATATTAGCCAAATAAACAACTGCTGTTGAAAGGTTTGTCCACAACAGTTATTTGAAAGGCCACTTCTCTACTTGCATGAAAAACAATACATAGGTGAATACAACTCATAACCCATTTCAATATTAAAAGATAAGGATGTGGCACATGCACACATGCTGACACTAATACAAAGCGGACAAAACCTACTATATCCACACGTTAATGTATAAATGTTCACGGTGCTTGCAGAATATGAACTATACCTGTATAAATAGATGAAAAAGCTGACCAGCTGATAACCCAGCTTCACCATAGCCTCCTTCATGCTGGATTTGAGTTGTCCACGGTTGTGGATTTCTGTTGGGTCATACAGACCCATGTTTCCACTTGGAATGTTGAGATACCTGTGCCATCAGAAGAGAAGCAGGGATATACACAGGTATTTTTCTGAACCTGCATTTGCTTCACTATGCAGTATCCATTTCGTCTAAAGATGGTTAAGTATTACAAAACAACTCTACGTATGTACATTAAAGTACCTTTTATGTCAACAATGGGATGAACTGCGCGTTGAATTGCATTCCACTTAAGTCAGTTTGCACATTTTCCATGTGGGGGCGCTAGTCATTTCCGTAATGTACTATGATAATTGCCCAAAAAGTGTTCGTCGTCCAGTCCACACTATGAAGTTGACAAGTTTGGTAATACCGAATCAATGTGCCTCAAAAAGTATCTTTGAGACACTGACTACATTACCATTGCAGTGATGAGGAGCCATTGTGCTAACCTGTAAATGTTCCACATTGCCAAGGGAAGGTTGTAGAGGAAGATGAGCCAGTGCATCGTAACCAGCATTAGCACGGTGATGATTGCATGAGCCAGCAAGTCCGGTAGCACCCACTGCAACATATCAACCATTAAAAAAATCATAGATATCAACGTACAAATGACATTACGCAAAACTATCGTTAAGACTTGTAACATCTTGATTTAAAGATTTCGTGACTGCAGGAATTCATACTCTTGGGTCTTTTGGTCAAGTCACGTAAATTTAAAGAAACAGATAACGACGTTTGCTTGTGATGCAATCGTCGTGATCTATTTTTATTTATGCGACTTGACCAGAAGACCCAAGAGTATAAGACTTGTAACATAAGTTTTATATGTGCAGTGATTTTAGGAATAAGCAGTATGGATAAGCAAAACGGGTTAACATAACTTTAAGTCAAAATATATATAAGCTACCAAATACATTTCTTCTGCACAGAGATCATACATGGTGATGTGACCGAAAAAAATGTAAACGGTGAAGATGTTTTTGCAAGGACTTGTGGCACAAACTCAATATTAACTGAAACACGGTGTGCTGGTCAGTACAGCATAAGCAACTTATGATTCTAGATTTGAAGTTTTCGTGACTGCAATTATCCATACTCTTAGGTTTTTTCGGTAAGAACACGTAGGTGAAAAAATAAGAAAAATTAATAATAAATAATAGGAAAAATAATAGAAATAATATTATATTCTTGTATTTTTACCTACGTGACTTTACCGAAAAAACCTAAGAGTATGATTCCTTGCAGTCACGAAAGCTTCAAATCTAAAACTTATGACCACCTATATCCCATTAGTCTGGCAAACGGAGGAAAATATAAACTTGGCAACTTATTTTGTAGTGTCTTGTTTTCAGATAACTTAAGGGTTACTGCTAGAAAATGTACCTTGTTGAGCCTGGAGCAGCAAGCTGTAGCATTCAGGTAGTCGCATTCTAGGTCGGACAGGGTAATGATCTGCAATTGCTGTGTTAAGTACGCCCACCAGTGCACATTCCCATCGCACATTCCCATCACAGTTCAATCCCGCAGCTTACGGAGGCAGCGGTAACATTTCACCTGTTTCCATTGGTTTTAAAATACGTACACTATTTCAGACTCTAATTTGTATTTCGCAACGTGTTAAGGTAAATAAGCTGAAGACGAACTACCGTACTAAATTGGCTTTAAAACCCATTCAACAGGACCTTTGATTCAGATTTAAATCAATGAAGTATACAACCATATAGTCCCCTATAAATAGCACCGATTAAATGCTGAGTAAATTGTAACACTAAACGGTAACAAAGATAATGAACCTTCACGCAAAAAGTTTCATTCAGCCCAAAGACTCAGAATTCTGCATTCGGATGTTTGGCCAGTTCACAGTTTTACGGGCAATTGGCGAGAGATGCATATCCAGTACCCGGAAAAAATCCACCACACGTACGGACTACCGCTCAAAGATCGATAGGTTCTCCATTGCCATCTGCCCACATGTTCAGCAAGTGAACCTTGGGGTCCCGAATAAACGGAAGTCAAAATCGTAATCTATTTTGGCGACTCCGTCTCCCCGTGCACATCCAACGCCGCGACCCGCCTGGCGCGGATCATTCTGACGAATGCGCGGAAGAAACAAAACTTTCAAATTATCATTTGCGCATCGTGTAGAGCTCGTCGAGAGGAATAGATTGCCGTATGGTTCGCCTTCAACAGACGTAAAATGACGTCGCAACGCAGTTTGTGCGAGAGCCGGGGGCTTATGGGACCTCGGGGTCCCGCCGTAAGGTTCAAGAGTTGGCCTTTTCACGATAGTCGTGTCTAAAGTGTTGCAACCACCGCTGTTTAATAGCCATCAATCTACCTGCCAGTCCACTGGCCGGTTGCTTAAAACACTATAAACCTACACGAATCGGTTTTATCCCCTTTTTGAAAATAAAAATAGGTGTTAAGATGTTCAAACACCAAACAGAAACCTTTTGCAAGGAATCCTGTCCGCATTAACCACACGTACTTGTGAACTTGATACTGGCAAGACAATACACTAAACCACTTGCGAAACATACACAACGTAAAATGCCCAACTATGTGCAACATTTAAACTTAATGCCACCACCGGCCACTCGGCTCGCGGAGAAACAACCCCCAAGCCCCGCTCAGCCATCTCGCCGGGCCGTTCGCGAACGCCCAAGTCGGGAGGGCGCGACCAGGAAACAAGCGGGGGCTCGAGTGCGACCAGGCCGCGTTCGCGTGGTGGTGGTGGTGGGGATGGGGATGGCGGTGGGGAGGATACGAAGTAGACGGTGAGAAAGATGAGGAAGCAGCAGATGACGAGCGCGGCGAGGAACAACGCCCCGTCCCACATCGTCCCGGCGGCTCGGCTCAGCGCAGCGCAGCGCAGCACCCCCACCGCACGACGGCCGCCACGAACAGAAGGCGGCAAAGTTGCAGCAAATGGAAGCTTTCAACGCGAGCGGCACTTCCGCCTTCACGCGGCCACGTGACCCCCCCCCCTCCTCCTCTTCTACGAATCGATTGGTAGCTTAAGGAAGTAATCGATATAATCGATTCGCCTGTGTTGAGTGTGGGAGCAATTAAATGAATGGGATTCATCTTGGTTCTTTCGGTAAAGTCACGTAGAAGGGAAGTAATAAAATAATAAAAATAAAACATAATAAAGTAATTTTCGTGGTTCTTTCGGTAAAGTCACGTAGAAGGGAAGTAATAAAATAATACAAATAAAACATTATAAAATAATTCGCATACCGCCACCGCGGCAACCACTAGAGGCCGCTACAGTCACATAGAGCAGTGGTTCTTAATCTTCACTGCAGCCTGCAATCTCTTTAATCGTAGTAAAAAAAATGTGTAATCTCATACCTGTCAACCCCTTATCAGAGCCCTGCCTTTTTATAGACCAATTCAGACATTATTGGTCACCCCGTGCCCCTTATACATCTCAAAGTGCATTCTACAAAGTCCCATCACAAGAGGGAAACACAAACAAATAAACAAAAAAACATTGTTTTGCCCGCATTGCATACGGCTCTACGCCGTATGGACAAGAATACGGGTTAAACCGTATAGTTTTGACAGGTATGTAATCTTAATAAATACATAGGTTTGATGAAACAAAGTAGGTGAACTTACGTGACCGTGCTTAATTTCTGTTTCGATGATTTACAATTCCAAAGGATTTGGCCATGTCTCGCATCCCCCATAGAGGGCATCTCGCACCCTACAGGGGGGTTCGTGCACCCCAGATTAAGAACCACTGCACTAGAGCGCCAATTAAACGATACATTATGGAATACTGAAAGTTTGGTGGTGAAACGGGACACCCTGAGTCGCTATAACACCAAGGGCCATAGTTTGTTGCACACTATATTCAAACATGGTTCGTTATTTTTTAAAAGTTATTTTAGGATACTGCATCATAAGCATGCG